CTGAAGATGCCATCACTCCCAGACAGGCAGGAAGTAATTTTAAGAACACAGTGCCCACATTCCCAAGAACTGGGGTGGGCAGGTTTTAGTTGTTCAATGAGTTATGAATATTTTTTTATTGCTTACTGTAGTTAGTTGCAAGTTGTTATTGGTAACAGTCAGAATAAAAAGCTAAAAAAATGGGGAATAGATTCAGGAATATCATTCTGAAAGAAAAAAAAATCGGGATGCAGATATGAGAGGATAAAATGGTAGATTTTTGAATCTTTTAGACCCCCAAAAGCTACTAGTGTTAAATATTTTACTTCAATGTGGATTTTTATATATTGTTACAAATTTAGGGTTATTTTTTGTTAGAACATACTGTACATACATTTCCACTCTTGTTGAATGTATTTTACCTATATAGCTCATCTAACAATTTAATGTAAATTTATAGTCCTTGGAAATTATTATTACAAACCATTTAAGACAATAAAGTAATACAGATTAGTAGTTAGTCATCTATTACAATCAAACTTCTAGTCATGTGAGGTATGTTATCAAATGAAGCAGAGATATATTTTAAATAGACAAGTGGTCTTCAAACTCTTCATAGATATACAGACTATGGCATTTAAGGTGTTTTAATAACATAAAGCTATTTTTTATAATGATGAGATATGCCTGCTCCTGGAAGCACCAATTTTCTACAGAGAGGATGATAGACATCAAAGAGACTCCATATGAAGTTTACTTTTTATGTGAAAGAGTTAGTCACTGGGCAAGAAACTGTCCTTGCTTTGACTGCTGATAATATCCTGTCCAAATTGGAAAAGCAGGACAGAAAAGAAAGTGACTGCTGAGCATTGCCAAGACAAGGTAGGGAATTCCTTCAAAAATCCTGCTTCAAAGATAAGCCTGTCAGATATTCTAAGCCTGTATGCTGGAGATGGATGCCCCAATGTTGCAAAGGAACATTGGTTGACTCTCCAGACAGTCAGCTGTTTCTGTCATTTCTCACAATTTTTAGAAGTTGTCTGAATGCACTTCCTGTTTACTCAAGTTATTTTTTATCCTTCTCAGGTCTCTAATGGAGTTGGAAAATTTTTAGTTATAGTTTTTCTTTGTAATAAATTCAGAAAAGAAACTTACAAAAGAGGTGTAAAGTACTTAAGGCTGAGAGACATAGAGAGATAATTTGGGGTTGCTAATGTAATTTAACATTGAAAATAAATTAGGTGCAATACCTTGGATTCACAGAAATATGATAGATAATGAAGTATTTTCTTTGAATTTGTCAAGTGCTGGTGGACTAGAAATTAATGATGTAAATATTTCCTGTATATATTGTATATAGTTATTTTACTTATTGTATATATTTTCTATGTTAATTACAATCTTTTTCTATTTAGACAAAATGGTGAAATGTGATATTTTGTTTGTTTTCTGACAAATAAAGTTTGCCTAGATATCAGAGGACAGAGATAGTCACTAGCTAAACATAGAGGTCTGGAGGTCGGTACAGAGAGAAGACAGGAAATGACAACATGGAGCAGAGACAGGAAGCGATAGGTGGTGTGTAGACAGGAGCTTGGCCTTTTCATTCTGAGGATTTGGTGTTGAAAGAGTGATCATGGCTGCTCCTTTGCTCCTCTGATCTTTCATCGTTTACCCTAATATTTGACTCTGGGCTTTTACTAATAGGATCAACTAGGTCCATGCTTCATACCAGGATTGGCTTACATTCAATTGAGTTGTTGGTCAAAGGGTCCCACAGAAATTTCCAAACTACCCAGGCTGTTGCCAAAACAATAGACTGCTCTGCAAAAATTGAGAACAAGGCATCCATTGCTGGAGACAACACTCACACAACTGATGGAACATGGAGAAGTAGAGGTGCTGCCTACATAGAAACTTTACCTTTACATTCTAATGTCTTTGGTACAGAAAAATACTCTGCATATTATCAAAAGAGATAAATACCAACACAGACACAAACACTTTGATACACATTAGTGTACTGTCTTCAATATATGCTAGTTTAATCATGGCACAAAATCTGCGGGATTAACTGAACAATAGTTAATTTGATTAAGACTGTACTTCATGGCTTTATGTGTCAGCTTGACACAAGCTAGGGTCATCAGAGGACGTAGTCACACTTGAAATGACTCTTTGAGATCCAGGTGTAGGACATTTAGTAATGTTGGTTGGTGGCAGCCTGGGTTGCTGATCCTGGTTTCTATAAGAAGGTGGGCTGAGCAAGACAGGGAAAGTAAGTCAGTAATCAGCACATCTCCATGGCCTCTTCATCAACTACTGCCTCTGGGATCCTGTTCTCGTTGGATCCTGTAGGTTGTTGTTCTGATTTCCTTTAGTGGTGAACAGAAATGGTAAAGTGTAAGCCAATTGAACCCTTTCCTTCCAAATTTTCATTTTCATCATAGTAAGACCCACAGCCAGACATCATGCAGAGAGAGAAACCTTGAAACACACATCTCTAAATGGTTTATCTCCATTAAATCTCACCACTCAGAGCTCAGGGAACCCTTCAGAGGAAAATTCATGAATAGTTAAGAACCAGGTAGAATATAGGATATAATGAAATCAAGACCCTCTAAATCAACATGAACAAAGATTATAGGAACTCATAGAGACAGAAACAGCATGTACAGGCCTGCATGGATAGGCCTCTACTTATATATTATAATAAGGTCCTCTGCTTATATATTATAGCTTCCACTTTCATATTTTTTTATTGAGCTATACATTTTCACTGCTCACTCCCCTCCTTTCTTTCCCTCTTCCCTTTTTTCCTCACCCATATCCCCCATGCTCTCAATTTACTCAGGAGATTTTGTGTTTTTCCCCTTCCTATGTAGATCCATGTGTGTCTCTCTTAGGGTCTTCCAGAGTTCAGGAATGGTGGTTTTTCTTTGCTTTATGACCAAAACCCCCTTATTAGTAAGTACATATTTTATTTGTCTTTCTGGGTCGGAGTTACCTCACTCAGTATGATTTTTTTCTAAATCTATTCCCTTGCCTGCAAATTTGAAGATGTCATTATTTTTATTTACTGCTGAATAGTACTGCATTGTGTAAATGTACCACAACTTCTTTATCCATTCTTCAGTAAAGGAGCATCTAGGTTGTTTCCAGGTCCTGGTTATTATGAATAATGCTGCTATGAACATAGTTGAGCACTTGGTCCTGGTGGTACAACTGAGTATCCTTTGGGTATACTTCAAAAATGATATTACTTTGTCTTTAGATAGATTATTTCCTAATTTTCTGAGAAATCACCGTACTAATTTCCAAAGTGACTGGACAAGTTTGCACTCCTACCAGAAATGGAGGAGTGTTCCTTTTACCCTAATCTTCTCCAGCATAAACTGTCATCAGTGTTTTGATCTTGGCCATTCTGACAGGTGTAAGATGGAATCTCAGAGTTATTTTGATTTTTATTTCTCTGATGGTTAAGGGTGTTGAGCATTTCCTTAGGTGTCATTTATTCATTTGACATTCATCTGTTGAAAATTCTCTCTTTTATTGGATTATTTGTTCTTTTGATGTCAGGTTTCTTGAGTTCTTTATATATTTTGGAAATCAGTTTGATGTGGGGTTGGTGAAAATCTTTCCTGATTCTGTAGGCTGCTGTTTTGTCTTGATCATGTCCTTTGCTTTACAGAAGCTTCTCAGTTTCAGGAGGCCCCATTTATTAATTGTTGCTCTCAGTGTCTGTGCTAGTGGGGTTATATTTAGGAAATGGTTTCTTGTGCCAGTGTGTTCAAGTGTACTTCCCAATTTCTCTTCTCTGAGGTTTAGTGTGTTTGGTTTTATGTTGACATCTTTGATCCATTTGGAATTGAGTTTTGTGCATGAAGATAGATATGAATCTCTTTGCATTCTTCTATATGCTGATATCCAGTTATGCCAGCACCGTTTATCAAATGTGCTTTCTTTTGTCCATTTTATATTTTCTGTGGGACAATGCTCTTATACCCTGTAAAAATTTGTCACTTGTATTGGTTTAATAAAATGCTAATTGGCCACTATGCAAGCAGGAAGTATAGATGGAGTGATCAGACAAGGAGAATTCTAGGAAGAGAAAAGACTCAGCCTGTAGTCACTAGCTAGATGCAGAGGAAGCAAGATGAGAATATCTCACTGAGTAAGGAACCAAGCCATGTGGCTAAGCATAGATAAGAATAAATCTGAGCTAATAGATCAAATGATTTATAATTAATATACTCCTCTGTGTGCTTTTTTGGGACTGAAAGGCTGTGTGACCAGATGGAACAGAAACTTCCATCTACAAATGGTGCCCAAACATTCAGCAAGAATTTCCACATATAGCCTGAGAAAGCTTAAAAAAAGGATTACAAGAAAAGATTCCAATGTAGCTTCTTGTTAACCCATGTTGATTGTTTCTCTGCCATGCTCTGTTTCCTGACAGCAAGCATAGGCAGGGCTCCTTTAAGAGAAGCTTTCTGATTCAGCATTAGCAGCAAAAGCCTTGCAGCTCTTTTAAGAGGCTCTGCCACCAAACAGTTAAATGTTGTTTATGAACAGACAGCATCAGGCTATTTGGTAGTCACATGGGCCTAGGAACTCCACAGAGTTGTGGCAATAAACCTGTTTTCAATCTGTACCTATGCCATGAAATTAGATTCACAAAAAGCTAAGGAATGGGGTGGAGTCAGCTGCCAAAGTTGCAGTTTTAATCCTAATCATAACACTTAGCAGATTAAAGGCTCATATGGGGATCTAATCTACATGGGGAATAGAAAAAACCCAGATCTCCTGAATAAATTGGGAGTGTAGGGATCATGGGAGAGGTTATAGTTCAATAAAAACAACAGAAAAGACTCTTGTGGCCAGAAAAAAGATAGAGATATACAGTAGAAGCAGAGAATCTAAGTGGTTTACAGTGTATTTAAAAATATATGTGGGCTTGAGCGAGAAAAGAAAAAGGATAGAGAAAGTCCTTTTAAAAAGAAAAAAAAAAATAGGCCCGCGCCCCCTCCCCACGGATGTGGCTGAGCTAAGGCGCGCCGCCGGGAGACTCTGCAGGATCCGCGGCCCGGAGCATCCGAGCGGTGAACTCTTCAAGTCTTCGATTTTTTTTTAAAAAAAATGGCCTCCAATAAAACTACATTGCAAAACATGGGAAAGAAACAGAATGGAAAGAGTAAAAAAGTTGAAGAGGCAGAGCCTGAAGAATTTGTGGTAGAAAAAGTACTGGACCGGCGTGTAGTGAATGGGAAGGTGGAGTATTTCCTCAAGTGGAAGGGGTTCACAGATGCTGATAATACTTGGGAACCAGAAGAAAATTTAGATTGTCCAGAATTAATTGAAGCATTTCTTAATTCTCAAAAAGCTGGTAAAGAAAAAGATGGTACAAAAAGGAAATCTTTATCTGACAGTGAATCTGATGATAGCAAATCGAAGAAGAAAAGAGATGCTGCTGACAAACCAAGGGGTTTTGCCAGAGGTCTTGATCCTGAACGAATAATCGGTGCCACAGATAGCAGTGGAGAATTAATGTTTCTTATGAAATGGAAGGACTCAGATGAGGCGGACTTGGTGCTGGCAAAGGAGGCAAATATGAAGTGTCCTCAGATTGTCATCGCCTTTTATGAGGAAAGGCTGACTTGGCATTCTTGTCCAGAAGACGAGGCGCAATAATTGTTTGCATTTTTATATATATTTATATATATATAAAATCTGGATCTTGAGTTTTGAATTACTAGTGTGGAAAAAATAGCATTCTAATGAAAATCGAGTTTGATATGCTGGTTTTGAAAGTATTGACAGTAGTTGGGATATTTTTGGTTTTTGTTCTGCATCAAAAGGCACTGATTCCTTTGAGCAAATAAAAGCTTTCTGTAGTTGCTTCTTTTAACAGTAGAATGTTTAATACCATGTTGTATTTCCTCGGCTTTGAAGAACAGCTTTTCTTAAATGCTGGGGAGATTTTACAGTCATTACTCAATCAGAACTTATTTTTAACTGGGACACAGAAGGACCATTCTGGGTTTTTTGTTTGTAAGCTTGTGTGTGCATAAGACCCTTATGTAACTGTTTTTCATTTTGTCTTGTTTTTAATACTCAAAAACTGTAGATGAAAACATGTGTTGAGATTCCTCCCTTGTGAACATTTTCCTGAAACCATAACCTTTCAGATCAAGTAGACAGTTCTGTAATTCACTGGATAGTTTTAAAGCATCCACATCAGAATTTATCTATTATCACATACAGTAGTTTGTTTACAAAATTTTGTCCTTACAAACTACCCCTTCAGAAAATGGAATTAGACAAAGTAGCAGTATGACTTAATAATAACAAGACTTATGCTGGGTGAGGTGGCATGTGCCTTTAATCCCAGCACTTTGGAGGCAGGTGGGTCTCTGATTTAGACTAGATCAGCCAGGTCTATTGAGTTTCAGGTCAGCCAGGGCTGTGCAGAGAATCCCTGTCTCTAAAAATTAAGCAAAAAGACAACTAAGCATGTAGGGTTCCTCTAGTGAACCATTCCCTTGTAGAAAGTTGAAATCTACTAAAAGGTTATGAAGTTTGGAATATCTGTTTGCTGTGGAAATAGAATCATGGTTAGAGATGATGTTGGCAATTTCAGATCTACTGACATAAATGAACAAAATTTGGTAATATAAACTAATGACTTGCATGCTTTTTCTTTACCCTGTCTCATTCCTTACTGGTAGAAGCAATCTTTTCAGTATTTGGGTTCTGGTTCAATGAGCCAGAAAAGTAACTTTGTAGTATCAGAATGTCATCCAACTGTATATTTACTTTATTGTAAATAATGGTGAACAGTGGTCAATAAATAGTTTTATATTCCTTTAAAAAAAAAGAAAAAAATAGAGTAGTTAGGTATGGTGGCACATGCCTGTAATTCCAGTAATTTGAAGGCAGAGACAGGCAAATCTCTGAGTTTCAGGCCAGCCTGATCTACAGAGTGAGATCCAGGGCAGCCAAAAACAAGCAAGCAAACAAACAAACAAAAAAAACAGAGAAATCCTGTATTAAAGAAACAAAAACTTAAAATAGTAAGAGTTGTTTAAAAAGCCACAAAAGATGAAAAATGCACAGAGAGTCTGGATACTGTATGTTATTGTGTTGTCTTTGAATTGTTTGACTGCTGAGAAAGGAGCAACAGCTGCTAAAAGACATTTGATTATAATTCAACATATGTTTTGAAAATTTTGAATTCAAAATTTAAGTCAAAAGATATATTACTTTGGAGAGAAGGTTTTGCTTTTGTTTCTACAAGAAATAAGGAGCTGTGGATTCATTCTTGGTTAAGAAAAATAAGATTTGATGGAGGAAGACTCCTGAAAAATCTCTGATAGGAGCGGATGACCCAGGTAATCCAGTATTTAGAGCACCTCTGTTGCAGTTTCCTCTGAGTTCTACATTCAGAACAGCTTCTAGCCTGCTGACTGAGATGATCCAACCTCAAAGAATGCTCCAGTCAGTACTTGCCCATACCCAAAATTTTTTGGGGGGGGGTCCCCATAAGATTATCAGAAACCCCAGTCAGCAGAAAATAGCTTAGAAACCTATGCCCACATTCCCAAATAAAAATGGATTATGAATGTTTATTTTTATTTAGAGTGTTGGTTACAAGTTGTTATGGACAATGGTCAGGAAAAAAGCTAAACAAAGGAGATTAGCTTCAAAGTTCTTGGTTTGAAAAGAAAAAAAAGGGGAAATGCTGTGGGACAATGCTCTTATACCCTGAAAAGATTTGTCACTTGTATTGATTTAGTAAAACACTGATTGGCCAGTAGCCAGGCAGGAAGTATAGGTGGAATAACAAGACTAGGAGAATTTGGGGAGAAAAGACTCAGTCTGTAATCACCAGCTATGTACAGAGGAAGCAAGATGAGAATGCCTCAATGAGTAAGATACCAAGACATGTAACTAAAGATAGGTAAGAATTATGGGTTAATTTAAGTTGTAAGGGCAAGTTAATAATAAGCCTGAGTTAATAGGACAACCAATTAATAGTTGATATAAGCCTCTGTTTAAAAGGCTGGGGGACTGAACAGGATGGAAACATCCATCTACATGTAATAAAATTGAGCTTAAATCTGTATCAATAGAGTGAGATCCATTCCAATGCAAAATGTTCATCCCTATATCATATCTCTCTTATTTTTTTAAAAAGGTGACTGACTGTGACAATTATAAATATAATTATTTTTAAAAAACATAAATAATTTATATAAATATAAATTAACAATTTATATCAACCCCTTTTAAATAAAATTAACATTTATAAACAATCATTTTGGAAATTTAGGTGTAGTTTTCTCCAAACTGCTTCCTACTTTTTGTTGGGTGAAGTATTTTTAGGGTTCCTGGAGAACTTTTGGGGGAGTCTTCTTCCATCAAATCACATTAGCCTGTAAGAAATCCACAGGGTCTCATCTGTGTAACAAAAGCCGGATGTCTTTTCCAAAGCAACATATCCTTAGACCTAAATTTTGAAGTCAAGATACCTTATTGTGGTTTAGCTTAGCAGCCCCCAGAAACAAATGTCTCTCTGCAGTCAAGAATTTAAAAAAAACACAATAATAAACACAATCCAGACTCTCTGTGTAAATTCCATCTTTATGTGTCTTAGTTTTCATTACTCCTTTAATCTATGACTGTCTGTACCCTTTTATATTACTTTTACTGTATCTTTAAATACTTTGTTTTATTTTTAAAACTATTTATTTCTTTTTATAACTGTCTATACTCTTTATCTTCTCTCTCCCAAGTCTATGTATGTTTTTAAATAGATTATGTCTTGCTTAGAGGTCTTTTATGTGTGAATCTGTCCGATTGTGTATCTGAAATTCTTTTCTGACAAGTAGCATTTTAAAATGGTAAGCAGTGTGATTGCAGCAGCTCTGGATTCTGACTCTACCTCTCTCAGCCTTTCAATATTGTGGAGGTACCTTTCCTGCCAGCTCTTGTGCCATTGGGTAGGAGCCATGCTCATTACCTCAACTCTGCAAAGAAGCATGCAGTACGTGAACCACTTTTATCTGAGTAAAAGCTAAATCTGTCATGCAGTGCACTGTGTGACCTGGAAATATCTCTGTGTGTGGTGGTAGGAATCTGTTGTGCTCTCCTGCCTGTACATACCTAGCAGTCCTGTTCTGACTGGTTGCCCAGACAGAGAGTGCTGAGTTGCTGGCATGCTCTCAGCAATTTTCCTCCTAACCCCAAGCAGGTATATAATCACCAGAACCCCAAGTTTGTGTTTGGGGCTTAATGTGTGATTTAAGCTTCAGTAATATTTCTTTTACATATGAGGGTGCCCTTGTATTTGGGGCATGGATGTTTAGAATTGAGGTTTCCTCTTGATGGATTTTTCCTGTGACAAATATATCATTCAATGTTTCTTTTAATTGTTTTTGGTTTAAAGTCTATTTTTTAGATATTAGGATAGCTACACCAGTTTGTTTCTTAGGTGCATTTGGTTGTAAAACTTTTCCAGCCCTTTACTCTGATGTGATGTCTGTCTTTGAGGTTGAGTTGTGTTTCTTGTATGCAGCAGAAGTATGGCTTCTGCTTGTGTATCCAATCTGGTAGCCATGTCTTTTTATAGTTGAGTTGGATCCATTTATATTAAGAGATATTAGTGAACAGTGAGTGCTAATTCCTGTTATTTTAGTTTTAGTCATTGGTGATGTTATTGTGTATGTTTTCACCTTCTTTGTGGTTTGCTGCTATGAGGTCATCTATTGTGATTTTTTGTGGATGTAGATGAATTTCTAGGGTTGGAATCCTCCCTCTAAGACTTTGTATATGACTGAGTTTATGGCTATGAATTATTTAAATCTGGTTCTGTCATGAAATATCTTGTTTTCTTTCTCAATGATGTTTGAAAGTTTTGCTGGATATAGTATACTGAGTTGACATCTGTGGTCTTTCAATGTGTGAATAACACTTGACCAGGATCTTCTGTCTTTCACTGTTTTCATTGAGAATTCTGGTGTAATTCTGATAGGCCTGCCTTTATATGTTCCTTGGCATTTTCCTTCTGCAGCTCTTAATAGTCTTACTTTATTTTATATGTTTGGTGTTTTGATTAATATGTGACAATGGAAATTTTTGGTTTAATATGTTTCAAAACTTCTGCAAACTTTTTGCATTTTCATAGGCATATCCTTTTTAAAGATTGGGAACATTTTCTTCTATGATATGTTGAATTTATTTTCTGTGCCTTTGAGTTGTAATTCTCCTTCTTCAATCTCTATTGTTCTTAGGTATGGTCTTTTCATGGTGTTACATATTTCCTGGATGTTTTGTGTTAATAATTTGTTGGATTTAACATTATCTTTTACTGATATATCTATTTCCTCTATCATATCTTTAATGCCTGAGATTCTCTCTTCCATCTCTTGAATTCTTCCATTTATGCTTGTATTTGTGCTTTCTAATTGTTTACCCATATTTTCCATTTACAGGATTCCCTTGTTTTGTGTTTTCCTTATTGTCTCTATTTTGGTTTTCAAGTTATGAATCATTTCTTTCTCCTGTTTGATTACATTTTTTTGGTTATCTCTATGTGATTTATTGATTTCTCCTAAATTTTTGTTTGTCTTTTTTCCCCTTTCTTTGAGTTAATTTTTCATTTCATTTCTTTTTTTATTATTCTTTTTTAAAATTTATTTATTTATTTATTTATTTATTTATTTATTTATAAAAATTTCCACTTTCTCCCCTCCTCCCAATACCCTCCCATTCCCCCTACTCCCTCTCCTCTTCCCTCTTCAATCCTAAGATCAGTCAGGGTTTCCTGCCCTGTGGGAAGTTCAAGTTCCTTCCCCCACCCTCCAGGTCTAGGAAGGTGAGCATCCAAACAGACTAGGGAACCAAAAAGCCTGTACATGCAGAAGAAACAAGACCCAGTGTCATTGTCAATGGCTTCTCAGTCAGCCTCCATGTCAGCCACATTCAGAGAATCCGGTTTGATCACATGCTCATTCAGTCCCAGTCCAGCTGGCCTTGGTGAACTCTCATTAGATCAGTCCCCTCGTATCAGTGGGTGAACATACCCTTCACGGTCCTGACTTCCTTTTTCATGCTCTCCCTCCTTCTGCTCCTCATTTGGACCTTGGGGGTTCAGTCCAGTGCTCCAATGTGGGTCTCCATCTCTATCTCCATCCATCGCCAGATGAAGGTTCTATGGTGTTATGTAAAATATTCATCAGTATGGTTATGGGCCAAGGCCAGTTCAGGCACCGTCTCCTCTGCTGCCCAGGGAACAATCTGGGGACCTCTCCTTGGACCTGGGAACCCCTCCAGAATCAAGTCTCTTGCAAACCCTAAAATGGCTCCCTTAGTTTTCTCTACTTTCAGACATCTTATTGGTAAATTGTGTCTTCTCAAAGTTTTGAAAAATAAGAACTCAAACCAATTTCTCAGAGCTGTTACCCAAGCTATATTAATATACTGATCCAGACTTGCTTGTTACTGAGTTTATAGCTCTTCCATATGCAATACGGAGGTCCTTAGAGACTCCACCTGCGCTACTGTATTCCATGCTTCCAAGAGAGAAAAGAATAGACCTCCCAAGGCGTGTTACTCAAGGTGTTCATCTTCTTATAAACAATGTGAATGAAGGTGTAAAATGTATACTTGATCGTATACTTTTAGGTGATTGTATGTTTCTTTGTTTACAGTGTTTTGTAACTGATACTTCTCTCCTTCCCACAATATGACAATGACTCCTTAGAGTAATTATCTTCCCTTCTTTTTATTGAAAATAGATTCTTTCCACATACAATATATCCTAATTATAGTTTCTTTTAACTCTTCCCATTTCCTCCTAATCTACC